GGGAATCCCGAGCGCTGCGCTCCGGGAGAGACTGGGAATCCTGGGTAGGCCCAAGCGAGCCCAGGCCTCCGGCCGGCTCGTCCCCAGTCCAGCCGCGCTCACACCCTCCGCGAGTCCTGCCACCCTTCTCGGAGACCCAGGCTGGTCCCAGGCTAGCCCCCAGTTCCCTCTCTAACTTTCCAGTCATTGTTTGGCAGCGGGAAGCCCATCTCTCCTGTGAGATAACCGAGGCCGAGAGAAGACACGTGACCTGGGTTGGACTCTGACCTTGCTGAGCCTAGGTTTTCTCAAATACAAAACAGGAACAATTAATACTAGTACTGATTTTGCAGCTCTTGTAAGAACCCTATCTAGTCCAGTGGCTGGCACAGAGCAGGGACTGACGAAATGATCAGTTGCATGATTATTGTTTCTGCAGTGTTAACAGTCTTACAATCTCATGTAAGCCTCACACATGGAAAGTAGGCAAATGGGGAAAACTGAGACCCAGAGACTGAGTTAGTTGCCCAAAGTCACACAGCTTGCCAAGAGCTTTGAGTGTGGGGCTTCGCAGCCCAGGTCTCTTGAGTTCCCTATCCTGTTCTTCCCTTGAAGCAAGCAGGGTGGCCTCAGCAATTCCTCTGGAGGGGCTGCTTTATCACTTATCCAGAGGGCAGCAGCAGGGCGGGAAGAATTTATTATTGCTTCCTATCAGAAGACCCAGGTATCAGTCCCTAACAGGGCCGATATAGCTAGTTATACAATCAAACAAAATCAGACAGTAGTTCCTACCCATTTTGAATGGCACAGGAGAGAGGGTCTAGGGAAATAGATTTGAGTGGAAAACACACACTCTGCCCTCCCTATGTGCAGAGGGGCAGGGCTCTCCTTTCTTGAGGTTCTGTTGTGTGGTACATCTTGTTCTAGGCACTTTACATGAGGTCACATCTCACCTCACAACATCTTGGGTGAGGGGGTTGTTTATTATTAGACAATACTGTTCCATTTTCAAGATGAAGAAACTGAGGCAAATTGACTTTCCCAAAGTACACAGCTAGGAAATAGAGGAGCTGAGATTTGAGGCCCTGACTGTATTAATTTAAAAGCTCTAGGTAGTCTTTATTCAGCTTACCAGCAGGGTATTGTGGCAAAAAAAGCACACTTCATTCATTCATTCATTCATTCATTCATTCATTCATTCATTCATTCATTCAACACTCATGCATTTGCCAAGTGTTGGCTGAATATTAACTTGTACTTGGCATATGCTTTATAGTCTGGATATAAAGCAGGTGTTCATAAAAACATGGCTTGTCAGAGCAGGAAGGTCACTCAAAAATCTGGACTAGTACTTTCATTTTCCAGATGGGTAGTCTGAGGCTCACTGAGGGGAAAGGGCTTTCCCTGGGTCATACAAACAGGGCCAGAACAAGGAGATCTCCCGATGTCCTGTATCCTCCACTACTCTTAGACTCTGTATGGATATCTTCCAACAGCCTCTGAAAGAAGGTCATCAAATTCTTGCTTGTATGCATTCAGTAACAGGAAGCTCATTACCTCCTGAGGTTGCCCATTCCTGTTATTTTCAACCATGACTCTTAAGAACTTCCTCCTGCCCGGCCGGGCGTGGCTCAGTGGTTGAGCATCGACCTAGGATCCAGGCAATCGGGGTTCAATTCCCAGTCAGGGCACATGCCCCGGTTGCGGGCTCGATCAATGACTCTCTCATCATTGATGTTTCTATCTCTGTCTCCCTCTCCTTTCCTCTCTCTGAAATCAATAAAGATATATTAAAAAAAAGAAAAAAAAATTAAAAAAAAAAAGAACTTCCTCCTTATATTGAACCAGATGCCATTCAGTTCAGTTATTCTTACAAAGAACACAATATTGAACACTTGCTAAGTGCCAAGTGCTGGGTGCTGGGGATTGCAATGGTGAACAGGAAACTATCTCTGGTCTGTGGAACTCAGAGCAGATCATGGTTATGTGGCATGCTCAGTGCTATGATTGAAGAAAACACTGGAGACCACCTTGGACTCCCTTGGCCTGGGTGTAGAGGAGGAGGGATCCTGGAGGAAGTGATGTTAAAGCTGAGAAAGATGGTAGAGAAGTAGGCAGATGGAGAAAGGGAAGATGGGAATTCCTGGCAGGAAAAAAGAGCATGTGTAAAGGCCTGGAGGCTATGAAGGGTGATGCTTGGAGCTGTAGTTTATTCTGACCAGAGCAGAGCAGCATGAAAGGTGGAGAGGGAAGGGGAGTGAGATTGAAGGGGTAAGTAGAACCTTGCTTGACTGCACTGAGTTTGGACCTTACCTATTTCCCTGAGTAAATGAAAGAACAAATCAATGGACAAATGGTTGCTGAAAGTTCTTCACTCTCTGTTCCAAAAGGATCAACTGGTTCCAATGTTTGTGTCCATATTGGAATCCCCTAGGTGTTGTTTCCCCTTGGCCCTCTGCCTGGCTGAGGGAGGCCTTATTTAGCCTGGCTTCGCTCTGCTGAGCTTTCCTTAGGAATGTCTATATATAGGGGAAGAGGGCAGCCCAGTTGCCACTGTCTGTCTGCCTTCCTTGGTCTCCAGCCCCTTTCACTGGCCCCAGACTCTGCACTCAGTTGTCACAGTGCTCTTTCTGTTGACTTGGCCATTGACCATGAGTATTGCCTACCCCCCAACGCCCAACCTGGACCATATGGATTCTCAGGCAGGGCTCCCTTTGGACTTGACTTGATCTGCCCACCCGTCACTCTCCAGATGATCAGCTGAGCACCTCCAGACTTCTTCTTTTTTTTTAATGTTTTTGTTGATTTTGGAGAGAGAGGAAGGGAGAGGGAGAGAGAGAAGCATCGATGTGAGAGAGAAACATTGATTGGTTGCCTCCCATACACACCCCGACCGGGGACCAAACCCACATCCTAGGTATGTGCCCTGACCAGGAATTGAACCAGTGACCCTTTGGTGCACCGGATGACACTTAACCTACTGAGCCACACTGACCAAGCAGCCTCCAGACTTCACTGAGTTCTAGCAAGGGGCCGCCACTTACGCCATCACCTACTTAGAGAAACTTCCCCTGGTCCCTCTCCCCCCCAAAAAAAGTGAATCCCAAAAGTCCTTTCCCTGGAGAAGGTAAACTTGAGAGAAGAATCTGCTTTCAATGTTCATTTCTCCTCCAAGTGCACACTCTATTTCCTGGACCCCTGCTTACATTTGTCCTTCTGGATGGGTCCCCCAAGGACTGTCTGTCCCAACTTCCCCTCAGTCAGGATTAATAAGAATCACCAATATGACTATAGATCTTTATGATTTACAAAGCTCCCCAATAAAAAGGGAATAATAATAGTTGCTGCGTCACAGGGTGAGTACTAGATGAGATCATGTGGTTAAAATGCTTAGCACACTGTGAGGGACATCATAGAGGTTCAATAACTGTGGCTGTCACTTTCCCCCTCCTCCTGTCCACTGCCCCTTACCATGGTTCAAAGACAGGGCATTCCACTTGCCAAGTACCAACCCTGTGTAACTGGCACAAGCTAGGTGATTTATGCCTGGGCTCTCATATGCCACAGTCTCTCTGTGAGGTTATGATGATCCCCATCTCATGGACAAGGAAACTGAAGCCCAGAGGGGCGCTGCCACCTGTTCAAGGTTACACATGGATCTTGGGTTTCAAACTTCAAGGCTTGTGTTCTCCTCATTCCACCATGTACCCTCACTTTTCTCTATTCTGATTGTCCTTACCCATCTTGGAGCAAGTGTACTTCTTATGGGGAGGTTGCTAAGGCAGTGGAGCAGGGCGGGTTCTCCTCACAAGAATCTAGGACGTCAAGGCCTGCCACCTGCTCTGAGGCTTCAATTTCTCTGCAAGGGCCCTTGGCTAAATTAGGTAATGGGCTAGGTCGCAGGGGGGTGGGGCGGGGAGACAGGACTCTGACCCCAGGATCTGATTGGCTAGGGCATCCAGTCCTAGGGAGCAAGGAGGTGGGAGGAGAGGGTGCCCCTACAAATCCCAGGGGCTGGAGCAGGCCAGAACATCTTTGGGTGGTGGAGTGCAGAGGAAGTGGCCGCAGTAGAGGAGTCCCTGTAACTAGCAACCATGGTAAGGACAAGAAGCGACTTCATCCCTTTGCTTGCTGGAGCACTTCTGGGCCTCTTTCAGGCCAGATCTGGGTGCTTTGGGGGGCAGTAACTTGGACATTTGAAGATGGAATGTGATGGTTCCTGAAACCCAGGAGGAAGCCTGGGAAGAAAGCCTTGGACTTCTCTTGGAAGGGCAGGGCTGGGGTTTGACTCTCCAGGCATTGATCCTCAAAGTGTGCCAATTTCCTGCAGATATTCTGAGACTTCCAGCAATGCTGGTCACAGAACTTGGGGGTGGGGGTCCTCAGCTTGTATCTGCCTTAGCTTGGTAGAGATGGGGACCCTGAAGGCCAGAATGAGTCACCCAGCAAACCGGTGGCAGGAATGGG